ACAACAAAGTGGTTAAGAGTCCACACTTAGAAAACACAAACAACTTCTTATAAAAGAAATCGTAACACACAAAAGTGGGCCACACCAAGAATTCCACACACTCACTGCCCAGGCAGCAAGCATCGCTCGCAGCCGATGTGTTTCAGTAGCACCCCAATACCTAGCCCCTCACTGCAACACCACTGGCTTCCTCACACTCAAGGCAGGTCATTTTGAGGCTACTGCCAGAATCCACTTACAGTGATCTCAACAGGCGAGAGAAGCCAGACTCTGGGCTGGACAGACCTGGAGTCATGCACCCTGGCGGTTCACTTAGCTTTTTGGAGACTGCCTTTCCTCAACAAACATGTGGCAGTAACTTCTGCTTTTCCAGATGGTACTAGATGTGAACTGAGATAAGAAGGCATCAGAAGACAGACCCTGGAGCTAACACATAGGAAGTGGTAACTGCATGGTGGCTGGGGTGTGATTACCATTTCCACTAAGGCTCACACAAGACAAAATGGGCCAAAAACTACTTGAAAGAAGCCTCCAGAGTTCAACCTCCTTGCCCTGGGAATTGGAACAGACTAAGAACTCGTACCTGATCCCATCAGAAAGCAGGAAAGAGCAACTTGTGGTAGCTGAGCAGCGAGGGCAATTCTGGAAGCAAATGGAACTTTCCATGACGGCAAAGTCAATGTGAAAACTTTACCATTAGAGATGTGGTTTGCCTATTAAAAGATGAAGAGGCCCCTTCCTGCAACAGCTGTCCTACTCACTCCTGGCTCCAAAACCTGAGGCAGGCGCAAGCCAGACAAGCCAAGGCTTCCTCTTTACAAGTGCAAAGTAAAACTTTCAAGTCCTGAAATCAGACTCCTCTTGTAATGAGAACTAGCGAGAAATCATGTATAGAATGTAAAGTGTCAGAAAACCTACAGGGTAATAATATTATACACACACACACACACACACACACACACACACACACACACACACACACACATATATATATTATAGAAGGCATGTGTGCTTACTCTCCAAGGCAGTGGGGACCCAGAACGAGCTCAAAGGAGAAACTGGGTTGTTGCCCTCCCACCCCGTCATGTTCAGCCTTCTAGCAGAAGCAGAGTGAGAAAAACCTTAGTGGTTATAAGATAGAGACACAAATCCAGATACTCAGTGAAGTGCACATATACCATCAAGTCTTGGATGATGTGGCTTGTAGCTTCCAGTAGACAAAACTAAGGTACACTTTTCTCACTCCCAACTGACTGAAAACTGCTAAGGGATGACCTCCAGAAGGGGTTCTGTTTACTCTTAAAAAAAGAAGAAAAAAAAAAAAAAAAAGCCAGGCAGTGGTGGTGCATGCCTTTAATTCCAGCACTTGGAAGGCAGAGGCAGGCGGATCTTTGTGAGTTCAAGGCCAGCCTGGTCTACAGAGTGA